CAGCCATCGTGTTGAAATGCGTCCCTTTGAGACCAAAGGGACGCATTTCAACTTTACCTCCATTTTCCCGGTTATTATAACTTTTTCAAGTTTGTCATGAAACGGTCGGGTAATGTGAGCGAAATATTGCAACACAATGCTATATTGGAGACTTGAAAGCCTCTTAGTGACATGCAGTCCCTTTAGAATTGAGATATTGGTTCTATGGGTTGTCCAGAGGATATGCTGCATACGTCGTTAAATTAGGAAAGCTTCGAAGCCGCGTCTATCAGGCATTTTTATGGTCCAGCGACATAAGAGGAAAATAGAGGCAGGTTACGGGACCTCACAACAATTTTCTTTGAGTCCACTTGTTATTGTAAAGTACAAACACTAACACAACATAAATTTATAGCAAAAATTTTGTTACTACGACAATGCAAGCGTGTCCACTATTTGAATATGTTTTAAAATTATTCATAATAAAGAAATACACATATTAGTTTATTTGTTTCAGTCAATTCACCGGTTTTTCCCGCTCTTGGCCCAGATTAATGCCAAAATACCGTTCAATGTTACGCAAAGGTACTTCCCCAGTAGTTCCGGTCAAAGATGATGTAAATGGCCTTTGTAATGTAAACAACCTCCGCACCGGAGGAAAAAACGAGTATAGAAGTTTTAGATTTAATTGATAAATAATAAGGCAAAATATATTAATATTAAGGAGGCAAACGGGCTGGAGGCTTACCTAATGTAACACTGCCGCCTTTAGACTTAGACTTATACAGCCTGATGTTCACGAGTGCGTTGCCAGCCTTCTTTTATAATTAAGATAAGAATTCAACATTTCTCGCGATTTTTTTTCATATCACTATTGCTTTACGCTTATACTTGCAGTGCCCATCCATCGTATGATATAACGATATACGAATCAGTGAATACCAGGAAGGCCTATCTTGCGACATTAAAAAGATTTCTAGGTAAGTAATAACAACCTAGTCATCAGCCGTCCCACAAAAGTCGATTTCCTCCCAACGTTTTCCTTCAGCGTACGGATCACCAATCGGTTGAGATCCGCGCTATAGCACATTGCAACTGCTCTTTTTTATTATTAAAGTTATTTACATGGGTAAGGTCATTAAATAAATAACAAAAATAATTTTACCATTATTTGATTATAGATTATTGACTTTGAATTACGAGGAAACAATGAATAAAGGTTTATAATTATCTAATCAATATATTATATTATGTATAATATGACCGGTACATTACCATTTGTGACGTAGAATGTGTATACATTATCACGTTATCTATGGACAAATAAAGATAATCTAGAATCAGATACTAGATCAATACTACCAATGTTCTGTATTACTCTTTAATCTAGGTTTATTAGTATAACTACCTCATGTAAATATTCTCTATATATACTTTATTGCGGCATGTTTCAAAGTTTTCTAATAAAACTATAGTTTATATAATTATTAATTAATATATATACTTTTTTTTTGACAATTCACACCAGTTGACCTAATCCCATGCTAAGCTGGTGAAGCTTGTGTTATGGGTACTAGGCAACGGATATACATACATATTATAGATAGATACACATATAAATACATATTTAAACACCCACGACCTAAGCACAACACCAAAATGCTCATCACATCGATGTTTGTCTCAGCCGGGGATCGAACCGGGACCCATGGATTCGCAGTCAGGGGTACTAACAACAAGACCAATGAGCCGCCATTTATTTGTAAACCAACACCGACCACCACATCAACACATACGTACATATTATAATAAACTACCCAAAACTTGTGCGTTACAAGGGGCGGCGTAATTCTTAAAACTTTCTTAAAAACAAAATTTTCACTGACGATGCAAACATTTACTAATATCCTAAGAGCCCAGGGCTCTTTGCTTAGGCCAGACCTTCGTCATTTTATAAAAGCTGAAAGTTCTTCTGTGCGTGTCCCCTATACAGGTAAGAACGACCAGAGACTATAGAGTTTGGGTAGTGGTTACTTTGGCAGATAACAGGTAGTAAAGGCGTATAAAATAGTACCTTAAATCCCTTATCCCTTAATTTTATTAGGGATAACTTTATAAATATCGTCATACATTGCCGGACACTTATGACAGTTGCTTCCCCCTGCCAGACACCCCTAAACATTAATTAATTATAATTATACTTTCGTTAGAGTATAAAATTTAATAAAAATAAGTATAAAAATGCTAAATTTTATATATGTTACTTGGGGACCTATGAAAATATGATACCTCAATAGCCGGACAGTTTCAATGGTTTTTACACCCTGCCAGACACATTGAAAGTCCGCTGTAGGTCCGAGCGCGAGCGCTTAGTCTTTACTACCTGTTATCTGCCAAAGTAACCACTACCCAAACTCTATAGTCTCTGGTCGTTCTTACCTGTATAGGGGACACGCACAGAAGAACTTTCAGCTTTTATAAAATGACGAAGGTCTGGCAGTCCTGGGCTCTTGATCTATAAGCTGTCCGTCCTATGCTGAAACAGATTTCTTATTGTACAACAATAGTTTAATTATAAAATGTAAGTGTTATGTAGAATTTATTGTCAACTACCGTTAACATATCAAAAGGACGCCGACGACACAGACACAGGGAATAATAGTAGTGCACTTTTTAACTAAATATCATTTTTTATTATGTATAATAAAGTTATTATTTATTTCTATACAAATTACAGTGCCAGTAGGAATACTTACTCATAGTTACGAGTTAGTTATTTTAAGATTTGATTTAAAACTAAATTATAATTTTCATGGTTTTCGGTATGCGATGCTACATCCCGACTTACGCGAATTACACGGTTATCACGAAGTTCGCGGTAATGGTGTAGTTTCTTGTATTTAATGATTATGTTTTTATAATAGCCTTAATACCGCTAATGTATGCTATATATATACCGCTAATTTTTTGAAATAGTTAAGGTAAATTTTTTTATCACTTTTGAAATAGTAAAGGTAAAAATATGCCTGTTTCTTTCTAATACATATATATTTTCTACGTACAGTATCGGCATTATCTTTACAGACTAAAGTAGCTACATATATGACTTGCTTCGTTGTAATATGGTGATCCTACGTTTATTTTTCAATGACTAACCAAGATAAGATTACTAAATAAGTGTTATCCTCTGCCCCCACTTGTGACTCGTCTGGGGTATAAATTCTATGACTAAGTTCCTATATTCTACTCGCCTTACAGATGAAATATACTGTATGTGATCATGCCTGTTTGTCTAAATGAAGTACTTTTATTGTATAAGGAAACGAGGCAGACACATTAAAAAGCACTTTGTTGGTAATAGAATAGCTTACATGACCGCTAAAGCAAGACAAATACTTAAATATTTTGACATTTAAAAACACCATAAACGCGCCCATTACAATTCCTAATTGCACCTTTTCTAATAGCAACAATCTAGCTAATAGCGGACGTATTGGTTCTGCAACAATAATGACAAAAGACAGAAAAAAAAACAAATGACATTAGAAAAAGGTATTTTTGTACATCGAAAAAAAATTCTAAATTAGTGTTTCCTGCCAGGATCTAATAGAATTGGTGTAACTAATATAGCTTCTCTAACATTAGTGACAAACGAAAAAAAAAACACAAAATACGTTAGAAAATTCGACTTCGACTTAGGGTCCTTCAAATAGCGCACCAATTCTTAATAGGTCGGAAAAGCACTCGCGAGACCTCTGGCATTGAGAGTGTCCACGGGCCGCGGTGTCACTTAACATCAGGTGAGCCTCATGCCGGTCCCCCTGTGCTAAAAAAAAAATAGAAAAAAGCTTCTTGTCCGTCCAAAAAGTGCGATCTCTAAGTTACTATTACCAGCCAGGAACGAATAGTATTGAAGTAATATTTCTATTGCTACAATGATGTAAAAAAAATTACATTCGACTTCGACTCTTAAGGCCTAAGTTTCTTAGGCCTGTCCTTCAAGAAAAAAGGCGAATCAAATCTTAAAAGGCTGTATCACTTAAAATAAATAAAAAAGTCCGTCCAAAAAGAGCTTCTAAGTTACTGTTACCATAGGAACTAATAGTATTGGTAAAAAAATTCAAATAGTAATTACTGTTATGTTTGCTATAATTACACAATGTGTTAACGATAGGGGTGACGAAATTGACATCAGTCACGTTATGTCTTAATCCACTCACCGTCCAAATAATTGGCACTACAGTATAACAGTATTGGTACCATGATAATTGTGCTATTTCATACTAAACACATACCTACGTGTAAAACTTTACAGTAAATTAATAATAGGGTTGTTTAAATCAGTGTTCATTTTTTTTCTTTATAACCATCGAGCTCCGTTTTGACTTATTCTCGTTTGAACCTAATGTCCTAATCTTTGTTCAAAAGTCGTTAGTTGTAATTTTTTCTATTGTTAACGATTATTTCGTATGTTCCCGGCCTGATCCTTTAAATATATTGAAGATTTGTTCTATAAAACCTTAGCAATCAATGTCATACGTAGCCTAGTTCTTAAAAAGGAATTAAGAACTATGATGACTAATCAAATCATTTCTGTTTTAATTCTGATGTAAGTCTATCGAAACATGTTTACTAGTAATAATTGTGAATATCATCTTATCAAAACGTCAATACCGGATACTGTTAAAGACATAATCAAATGTTTTTCAATGATCTTATCAAACTTTCAAATAAACTTTTATCTCGTACTTTAAAAATGACTGTCAAAAATAAACAGTAAACACACATATACAATAAACCACATTTATTAAAAACACAGATCTTTTCTCTTAAATTAATTTTTTTAACATCTAGAATATCTTCGCTGAGATTTCTAGTGGATAAGAAGGCATGTTCATCTCAAAACGATCACAAAAAACTTGACACGAGGTCATCAACCTCCTTCAGTCCACGAAGCAGGTACATTCACTGAACTAAACACGTTCACGGAAATTTGGGACACATTTTTAGTCTATACATCTTCATCGCATCACGAATGTAAAGATTGACTCGATGACGTCATCCAGGTCCTTACTGAAAGGAGATAGTTGAGCTTCATAGTTAGAAAGTCTCTTCTCTTTTCCGTCCACCAAAAGATGACAATTCGGTCCCACAATAGAAACATTATCACCTTTTAAGCGCCTCTCAATTGTGATTGTACTTCCACTGCCGACTAAATTGACATTTCCATAATTTTCCTTGATTTCCACTCGGCAATCATTGCCAATCACTTCAACATCACCTTGGTTACTATGTACGCGAATTATACAATTATTCCCGACCACTTTCAGCCGGGCAACATTGACCTCCATGGTCACTTTCTTCTTGTTACCGAGAACTGAGTATTTTTTCATATTTAATTATTTTAAGCGTCTTACGAGCACGAGTGTTTGTGAGCGTATGATTTGAATTAGGAACGCGCGCCGCATTTATAAGCGCGCGCGCATTTGATTCGATAAGGGAACTCCCTGTGGCATGCGTCACTCATTGATTGAATCTCGGACCTCTCGATGAACATACACGTGGCCACTATTACCGCGTAAAAGATTGTAATTATTTTCGCATTAATATGTTATTCCCCAACCTGTAGGTAAATTATTTACACTAAAACTAATGATTGACGAATTTTAGCCCGAAGCAATAAAAAAACATCTAGTATATCGAATTAAAATAAATACAATATTGATAGTAATAATGTATGGTGAACCATTACTGAATTGAAACTAATAAACTAAAATAACTCTCGAAATAAACTCGGGTACCGCCGTGGAGCGGGCTCCGACTAGATAAATATCATGAGGATATATTTTCCGGAGTAGATGTCGCCTGGCGGGAGACGCAAAATCCACCAGACCATCCATAGTTTAAGCAAATAATGCCTAGCTTCTCGGCCACAGATCTAGGGTTATAAATGAAAAAAAAAACTAAAAATACTAATGTTAACTTTTTGGTTTAAATGATCTACAAAAACATACCACCAAAACCACTTTAACTTTCATTACGCAATTAAAAGCCCAATAATTTATTTCGTCTATGGCGTCTTTAAGAGAACAATATACAGGTTTTGGCTATGTTTGTGAGTTTCTAAGGTCATATATATGTCGCGGTTAGAAATTATTCTAAATCGCTAATAACTCTGAATACCATATTATGGACAAGCGCCAAAAATTTGATCGATTTGAATACATTTAATATTACCTAGGATCAAAATCAATACGTACGTATATTAAAAAAACCTTCTCACAAAGGTATTGTAAAAATAATCATACACCGCCTTATCATAATAATTAAGGTCAAACAAATTGCAATGTAGGTTATTAACCTTATTTTATTTCTTATATAATGTAAAAACCTGTTGATACAGGTTTTTTCGTGATCGTTAAACAATATATCGGGATTTTACCGCTTATCAAATAAAATATATAAATTACCTTTCAATCTTCTATCGATAAAAGATAATTATGTAAATATCTATGGTACTTAGACGTTATCTAATTAAATAGATTAATTGAATTTTCTAAATTTCGCCTTAATATGATTTATTTACTTACCCTACCGTTTTAGTAGCTACATACCAACATATGGACCATTTTGCTATGCTACCCCATAGAAACTTTTTGCTTTTCCGAAAAAAAAACAAAGTAGGTAGGTACTACATAAAACAGATCGTACTACTTTACACGATTATAAATATGCAGACTACGTCAGACAATTACATTTCATTTAATTAACTGAAATAGACCTTACAACGTAAATTTCCTTAGGTGCCAATTTTTTTTGCAAATGTTTTTATATGTATTTTATATACGAAACATCTTCAAATTTTAAAGAAAACAACCGCCTGGTTAAGTTTATATGGATTCCAGCTCATGCTTTCTGCGCAATCCAGCAATGTGTCAAAGGAACATTGTTTTTAATAATTAGATAGATATTTATTTATATGACACTTCGTTGCATCACAATACCAGTACAATGAACAAAATAATTAGAAGGGCAGTAGCCTTTCCGATCTCGAGCGATCTCTTCCACGCAACCGCTGAAAGAATAAAATAAAAGGAAATGCAAAATTACCTACAATAATTTAAAAATAAGGAAAAATATAAAACCAATTTTAATATTAAACAACGTAGGCAATGTATGGTGGCATACTTTCACTCACTTGACAATTTAGCCTTAAAGTTTTTCACTAACAGAATCCGCATTTGCGGTTTTTTTTAAGTAGGTCAGTGGATCAGGGTTTAATTATGTTGTATGAAATGAGTACACGTGAATGACAGACTCCAGTTACCTCGTGAAACTAGTCGAAAAAGTATAAAACAACAATGGTGGAACTGGAAGTTTTAGGGGACCCAAATAAGGGCTGAAATAGATGGCAACTACTAAAACCAAAAGGACGTCATGACACTCGCGTATTCGGAAGTCTAAGGTATTTTTATTTTATTAACAGATTAATAAACAAACTCATATAAAGCGTTTGAAAGAATGCGCCAATCTTAGAAACTACATGTTCAAACTGTAAAATTTTTAAGACCTTAACTACGAAACGCAAGGTGCGTTTCGTGTGTTGGGGTTATGGTGGGGGTGGGAAACGGTTAAATTACGCTAAGATCATACGGCGGAGTTTAAAAGTTTCCGACAGAAGTTCTTGACTCACTATACCTTTCTTATGATAATCAATTTAGGAATTAAAATATGATATTTATGTAGGGATTTATATAATAATAATGAGATATCATAGTTTTGAAATAACTCCGCCCCACAATCATGGTCAAATACCAAACAAGTATTTAAGATTTAAATTAACGCGAAAAATAATCTTTAACACATGCCTTATATGACAGTTCATGTAACACCATCGTTATTGTTATAATAAACTACAAGGTAAATTGTTTGACATCTATTTACTGTATTTCTAGGAGGGAAAAAACCGGTAAAAAGTAATAAATTTATGATGATTAAATGTTTTAATATTAAAAATAAAGTTTCCTATTATATCAGCAAAGCAAACAATACTTATAGTAATACTAATACTTATAGTAATAAAACAGTATCATTATATAATTAATGTATTTGGCCCCTTGGTAACCTTGCTTGGGATTTTGAACAGACTATTTCAATGGAAATATATAGTATAAAATTTTCTTTTCATTTTTTTAACTATAGATAAGATTTTACGATTAGGTTAATATTAAAAAAAACAATACGTAGAAAACATAGCTACTATCACTTGACAGTAAAACCTACTTTTTATGTTATTCCCCAAGAAGTACACTTATAATAGATAAAGGTTATGTGAGTCGACTTCCTAGCGAGTTGTTTTCCTGCCGTATGTGCGGAAGATTATATTTAATACCATATAATATACAAGGTAACACAGAAACAGTATTCTAATAAAACCAGAATCTAATGTGATCGTTTTTGTTCGTCATTAACGGTATCAAAATATTATTTGGCGTTGTCCTGGCTTATTAGCGTCTTAAATAGGTATACATGTAACGTGACTAATCATCTAAAATACTAGGTATAGTATAATCATTACATGGTTTTGCCATGTAAAAATATGGTTAATATGGTTACAAACTTACAAATACCTACTTTATTTAAATAGACATCTTTTTACATTAAATAAATCTTAAATAATCATTCTAGGTTTTTTGGTTGGATCAAATTGTATTGTATCTTGGAATCGTTCCAAATTCCTGAAACATTTGAAATGGTATCAACAAAGCAATTTCGTAGTCGCACTTCCTTCCCCATATCCGATTTCCTGTAGTGACAAGATTCCAAAAACTCTTATCAAGTCAAAGATAACACATCAGAATAGTATCTTGATTGTTATGTCACATGCTTAGACCATGTGATTCACAACTTCATATTTTAACGCCGTATTATATCACGTGTCAACTCTTCGATGTTACATTTTCAGCGGCTTTTTTTGGCGAAATCCCGTTACCATTTGAAGACACTGGTCCACTTTCCTTTTAATAATACTAATGAAAATCTTACAGAAATATCTACTCTATTATTTAATTGACCACACTGAGATATTGCCGAACGAATTCGACTTGGGGTCCTTCAAGAAAGAGCGTACCAATTCTTAAATGGCCGGCAACGTTGTTGCGTGCCTTCTCGCAATGTAAGTGTCCATGGGCTATGGTATCACTTAGCATCAGATGAGCTCGTTTGCCGCCTGTTATTAAAAATAAAATAAAGGCTGAAATCTATAGAGGAAATCTGAACATTTCTGAGGCGGACCCAATAATAAAATAATTTCATAATATTGATAATAGTGACTAAAATGTTAAGGCAAGATATAATTTCAGTGATATAATATTATCATATACATGAGTCATGACTCGCATGCACCTTACCGAATTGATGTAATCTTGTGCCTAAGAAATGCCATGAGTCACACATAACTGAGTGGCGCGCGCTGATTATAGGCAAAGAACAAAAAACGTACAGACAGACAGGTACCTGGTCAAAGAACAAGGAACAGAAGGTTCCTTAGTAATAAAAACTCATAGACAATTTAATGAAAGTTATCCTGTATGTAGCGTCATATAACTTTTAAACCTTTTATATTTGATCGTAATGGGGTTAATCGTTTATGTATTACGAATTTATAATTATTCGAAATTAGAGATTTTTTTTATTTTAACTAAACCTTAACCAAGATTAAATTACAATAACTCTGACACTAAAAGCTACAAATAGTACAAATACTTATGTGATTTAAGTATATAAATAACGTATTGGATTTTGACATACGGATATCATACTGGGCTCTTTCTCTACTCTGACTTGTATACATTTCTTTATTAGCCTCCTGTGCTATCAAATCCAAAGAATTTAATTTTTTCATGTGATTGTGTGATTTGATTATGAGTTAAACGCTCCTAATACAAAATTTCTAATACGAATTGTGTTAAGAACGCATATTAAAGTGACTTCTCTATAGACAAAATAAAGCGTCAATCATGTTTCCAGAGACGCGTATTAAACATTTTTAGTTACTCGAAATGACCCTTTTTTTACTTATTTAATCTTTGTTAATCACAAAAATTCAATAAGTCAACGTCCACGATAGGAAAGCCATGACTCATGCGCGTACGCATAGTTGTTTATCGACTCAAAGAAATGCAAAAACACAAGGAATTCGCTATTACGAAGAATGCTTATTTTTGTCACGCTCAATAGAATTCTGAAAAGTTTAATTATGACTTATGAAACGATGCCAAGAGTTTTTATAAGAATTGCTATCTTGACAATATTATATTTACAGTGAAACAGTTACGATAGATTCTTTAGAAAGATATGACAATTCCTTTAAATTGAAATTTTGAATATTATT